TCCCGCCCAACCCTGAGCATTCCTACTCTGCACCCCCTAAAGACGACGGTCAACATGCTAAATTGCCCGCCCTGTTGGCCGCTGGTGGCGGGGTCGATACGTTTGGTAATGAAGGGCACAATGAGAGTACCGATGTATGTCCGACCCTTCACTTCTTCTTCTTCGCCATCATCTTGGTTGTATATCCATACTCAACTCATCTTTCTTTTCTTTCCTTTTTTTTTGGCGGGGGATGGGTTCATTCACAGTGGATCTCCGTTCCATCCTTCCAACCGATTGGCGGCCCAGAAAACCGGCGCACAAGCCTCGGCCGCTTCCAACCCATTCACTCAACCTCAACAACAACAACATCATCAACAACAACAACAACAAGCCGACAACCCGTTCTTCACGATCTGATTCTTGTCCTTCATCTTCGTCCCTGTTCTCATCCCCATCTCCATTTCTATCTTCTCTCTCTCTCTCTCTCTGTCTTTCTCTCACCTCTCTCTCTCTCTCTTTCTCTTTGTATTTACATGTTGACATATATATGTATACATCTTTATCACCTCGATTGGCTCATCGGTATGTATATATTCATACATACATACATACTCTTCAATTCTTTTCATCTTTCAACCCCCCCCCCTTTTTTTAACAAAAAAGACTTTTTTTTCTTTTGGTCGGTTTGGTTGGGTCTTATATTTGTTCTTCTTTTTTTATTATCTACTTTGATATACTCTGGTTATATCTTTCTACACATAACTAAATCATTACCATTATTATTATTTACTTTTGTTATGATTTTTTTTTCTTTGTTTTTTTACTGGTAACTTGAAACAAAAAAAACATCCATCATACATTCACGTTTTGTTTTTTCCTTTTTGAGATAAGAAACAATAAAGAAACACACAAAAAAAAAATTGCGGTAACGGGTGTATTTCTTTTTTTTTTGCTATATGGAAATTGTATTTGAATTTGAAGAGAGCAGAGCAAAGACGAAGAAGAAGAAGAAGCGTAAGAAATTACGTGCTGAGAAGGGAGGGAAAAAGAAGAAAGAGGTTCTGGTTGTGTCTGGTAGACTAGGACTAAGTGCCACCACCACCACCTATGTTATCTTGAGATCGTGCTGCAGAACAAGAGATTCATGACGACACGGGGACGACTTCAACAGAGAGAGAGAGAAAAGAAGACGAGAACGAGGTGGATCGTTGATCCATACCCGAAAAAAAGCTCTTGAATGCTCAGTCAGCGACATTAAACAACCGATGTACTTTCCTTCGAGAGATCGGTCTGTTGCTCGGCAGACCCCCCCCCCCCCCCCATCGGTATCTCTCGCTCTCGATCAAGCTTCTTCGTCCTCGCTGTAGTCCTCCCTTAACTCGTCATCGAGGTATACTTCACCATGGAGCCGGTTCATGCTCTTCGTCTTACTGCCGCTCTCATGCGACTTTCTTCCCCCCCCCCCGCTACTCTCTCTTTTTTTTTATAATGCCAGCTTATCTTACTTGAATTGTGGTTTGGTATTGAATGGCTATTGACTTTCGAGGTGAGCAAAAAAAAAAAACACCAACATCAACATCAACAAACAACAATGTCTTCAATTTCCGTCTCGCTTTCACGTGATCGTGATTTATAATGCAAACTCGGGGTGGTTCTTGTTGGAGTAGGAGAAGATGGACGGAGAGATTGCGAAGATAGTGGCCGGAAGTCAGAGACGAGAAGACAGGATGAGAAAGAGGATGAGTCGAGAGATCAAGAGAGAGAACTTTCGAGGGCCTTTTGGTTCCAGCGCTCCCATTCAAGAATATCATCGAGCGACCAATTGGCATGAAAAAGGTTCGACTTCCAATTCCAATCGCTGAAGTTAACAGGAAGCGTGGGGGTTGGTTTTGAAGGGTTGAGGAGGGGATGGGAGTGGAAGATGGACATGGGTTTGTGGGGGCGATGGATGGGCAGAGCGAGGGGAGTTTTCCTGATTGTTCGGACGCTAGTAGTGGGTTCGAGGAGGAGAGGGTTGTGGAGGTTCTGTGGTCGAGGAGTGCGAGTGGCCGAGCCTGGGGACAGATCGATGGTCTGGACGGGCTGAACAAGGACCGGTGGGGGGCCGGAAGACTCGTCGGTGCGGCGGGATCGACGCTTGGCCGTGGGCGATGAACGCAGGAGCACGTCGTCGTCCTCGTCTTGGTCGACTACGAGCGCCGAGGCCGGCCGCTTCAGAGGCGTGTTGGCGGCGTTCATCAGCGTCTCGCGAGAGCTCCGGACCACACCGGCTTCCTTCTTGCGTACACTCCCGCTCGCCACAGGCTTGGCCGAGCCTTCTTCCCGCGCCTTCCGACTGCTGCTCGGTAATCCGACTCCCTTGGCCCTCTCTCCCTTGCTCGCTGACGCTTTTCGTCTCGGACTGGCACTCGATGATGTCCCGCCACTCCTCACCTCTAGAATCCGCGGCAGATCTCGTAGGCCTCCTGAGAATATCCGGGCCGAGACGCCCGAGGTGCGTTGTAAGGAGGTCTCCAAGGCTTTCCGATCAGCTGTCGTAGTGAGATTCGAAAGTCTTAAAAGTCCCGGAAGAGAAAGAGAGAGAGAGAGAGAAGTGTATATTAGCATTGACGTCTCAGCGCGATGAAAGCAACAACAACAACGACAAGAAAGGATGAGAAGGGATGGCCAGACTTGACGAGACAGAGACAGAGACAAGCCAAGGCCCTGTCGTTGCCATTGATCCCGGCGATCCCGTGGCCGCGTTCGAGCGACAGGTTCGTCTTGGCCTTCTGGAACAGCAGCTTCGCCCGCGCGAGATCTCGATGGCTCGTAGTCCAGCGTCGAGCCCCAGGTGATCAGGTCCCGGTACGAGTTCCGTTCGTTGGCCATCCCGTCTCTTCTTTCTTTCTTTCTTTCCAACTCCGCTAATAAGTATTTAGTTGTTCGATTGGAGGTAGGGTGGAACAAGTTCTTCGTTGTTCAAGTCCTCCTCTTCAATCTTCAAACTACACATGAGATGTCACAGATCAGTAACACCTCAACTGGCATCAAATCATTACCTGCTAGTCCTGCTACATTTGCCATCATTCAACAATTCCTTAATTGTAAACACAAATGGACATCTACAGGCCTCTCTCTAAACGGCAACAGGGCATCCTCCACCGTTTCATAATAATATGACAAAAGAAATCATCTCATTGTCATCCTTTGTTTGATTTTAATCTTTTTTAGTGGTAATCAGACTCAGCATATCTTGAAAGAGAGAGAAAGAAAGTGACAATTTGCAAAGAAGGAAAAAAAAACAAGTAGAATTCTTAGAGAACCATTAAGAATCAGATGACTTTGATTCAACTTTGGATTTATTCTTGTTCTTGAAAGCCTTATTCTTATTATTATTCTTAGTATCCTTAATAGAAGCGAGTTTATGAACGACGGATTTTTTGAAGGGCTTGAGAGTATTATGAAACTCCTGTTTCTTGTGAGAAGATTTCTGCGAGTTCAAGATTTTGATTTTCAGCTGATTCTGTTTCTTGAGCATTCTTCTTTCGACTCTAGCTTGATTAGCCGATTTGATCTTCTTGCGTTCGGATTTATCCAAGAGGGCCAATTCCTGGGATTGGTCGGGCCCTTGATACGTGGTCTGGATCTCCTTTGTCAAGTCGATTCGAGGCCTCTTGGTTGAGTCTTGGCTCGGATTCAGTGGGTTTGGTTTGCCGCCCCTCTTCTCTCCATTCTTCGTCGTCGGTTCTCGTACTCTTTTTAATGCTGAGGATTGCCCACTCGATAGATACTTTTGCAACCGTACCCTCCGTTTTCCAATCTTGAAACTTCCTTCAGGTAGTGCCAACATTTCTTCTACTGCATCTTGTGTCTATTCCAATTAAAATTATAATCAAATCAATTCTGTTTCATAGGTTCTGAAAGCAAGATGATTACTGACTCTTAACAAAACGTAAGCAAATCCTTTAGTGAGCGAGGTAGCTTTATCCCTGACCACTCGGACTCGTTCGACCCAAGTAGCAGCGCCCTCGGGCAGTCCCTTCTTCTCCTCCACCAGTTTACTCTCGACCGCCTTCCGAATCGAGTCTTCCTCCTCGACGAAGTCCAGACCACCGATAAACAGCGTCCGGCGTTGTTCCTTGTTATCGATCGTATGACTTGACGGGTTGTTGGGGGTTTTCTTGGATGGCGGTTGGGAGGCCATGTCGCATCGAATGACGCGGTCCATGAAGCTGGTTCCGTCGCTTTTGGCGACGATCAGTTGGGCTAATTCGATGGCCGAAAGGTGTGCGGATGGGTGAGAGGAGGATGTGGTAGTAGATGATGATGGCGGGGGAGGAGGAGGAGGAGCAATGACGACGTATGCAAGACATGATTTGGCTTCAGGATGGATATCGCCAGTCACATATCCGATCTTGCGTTTCTGACCGCCCGTCAAGAACTTGACCGTTGGCAGGGTGGATTCGCTCGATTCCAGGGGCTTGGCACCTCGACGTCCGGCACTCCCGCCGGCAGCATCGTCGAAGGATGGCCGTGTCCCTCCTGCTGCTTGCGAGTCTTGCCAGGCCTTGGAACGCTTGCTCCCATGCTGGTCCTTCGGCGGCTCGCTCCCGATCGGCGTCGCTAATGGTATCCCTCGATATCGGATCGAGTCTATTCGCGCTTGCGGCGCTAATCCTCCGCTCTCTTCTTTCGATGGATTCAAAAGATGTTCCAGCAGAGCACGAGAGGCTGACTAAAAAATAAAATAAAATAAAAATTCCAGATCCGATGTGTTAGGATTAAGACTTATTGACTTTGGGAATAAACCCTTCAAATAAAGATGTCTAGAAACTTGCGACTGACTTTATTCTTGACGCAATCGATATGTACATTTCCTACGAAGACGGTCCTCCGGTTTTTCTCTTCGAATGATTCGGCGGATTTGCTGCTTGAAGGTCCTACTGAGGATGCGGCATTTTTATCCTTAGACTTTTGATGTGTTTCGTGTAGTATTTTGGGGGTTGGTTCGCTCTCCTTGGTGGTTTTCTTCTTGTCGGTCATGGTTGCTGGTGTGGGTTCTTTGGCCATCGGCTGTCCCCTCTCTTCACAAGGGCCAGGACCAATTACCTCAAGCTTTGCATATTCATCTTGAGTCTGGCCCAGCAGAGTCAAAGGGGGCTCAGAACTGAAGATCGACGTCCAACAGGACCTGAACTGGAGTGTCTCCACCCCGAACCCACCCTTCACGTCCTCACTCCTCACTCCAGCTGTGCCCTTAATTTCCACCCGAGGGCAACTTCATCCACAACTTTATTACAATAACTCAAGAACCGAAAACAGGCGACGATAACCATGAGCAATCAAACTCAGTCTAGAATACGGTCAGCATACTCTTAACACCCCATCTTGAGCAATATAAAACAACTGAATACATATCACTCTTCACAAAAAAAAAGCCATGAATGGTATCAAACAGATACCGAAGTAGTCCTATCCGTCTTCATCAAAAACACTAGAACTGAGGACGTCAAATGCGAATTCGGAGAACGATCGGTCTCATTAAATCACAAAAAGTCACCTGACAATCCATCTTCTTCTTCTTCGTTTTCGGAAACTTGCTTCGATCTCGATCCTTTGTCCTATGATATCCAGCCCACTCTGTCTTCTTGGAAATCTTTGTCTTCCAAGATCGAGTTTAGTGTTTCATCTTTTAAAAATTAATCACTCAAAAAAAGACTAACATTTTAAATTACGTCTATTTATATATAGTATTCGACTAAAGAAAAAAGTGAATGGGATCAAGTGGCAAGTCTTGGAAGGAGATGGGCGCGATGTACCAGCACCAACAGTCACACAACTCGAAGGTGAAAACAACAAGCCCAACCAATTCAATCAGCTCGTTATGACTGACCATATAAGTGTGCTTTTCAAGATCCGAGTGCTAGTGTCAGTCGACAGTCGGCATATCCTTCCTCAGCCCGGCGGAAAACAAATTGGGATCAACTGGCAAACTCGGTGGAGAAGGAAGAAGAAGAAGAAGTCAAAAACCTCAAGTCAGTTTGATTCTTGTGACCCTCTCTGTTCTGAGTATCAGGTATGCTCGAGTGACCTAATACTCAATCGACTTCAATCTTGTTGTTTTCTAGAGATCCAAATGCAGGAGGAGACCGAGCCATCAACGAAGTATTCCAGAAACTGTATGCGGATGCCACGGATGAACAGAAAAAAGCAATGATGAAGAGCTACGTGGAGAGTAATGGGACCGCGTTGAGTACCGATTGGGCCGACGTTAGTCAGAAGAAAATCGACACTAGACCTCCTGATTCCGTATGTCCTTCTCTCATCTTTTAATCTCTTCTTTCTTTCTAAAGCAAAGAACTGATTAATCATTCGAGTATTTAGATGGTTGCTAAGTCTTGGAAAGAGTAACCTACCCCCTCTCGGTTGTTCAATTGATTTGATTCCAGTCGGTTTCTGATTCTTTGTGTACAAGAAAACCGCTCATCCCCCCTCTCCTCTTCCTCTTGAAGATCTTACCTCGCTAGTTTTATTTGAATAATCTGAGACACTGTCATATACCACTATATCCACTTGGAATTTGCCTTTTTGTTTTGATTGGTCAAAGCATTCCAGCCGTTCAAAACAGAAGAAAGCTCTGGAGGAAAAAAAAATACATTGTGTAAAGAGAGGGAGAGACTACCATTGCGAAGGAGATTATAAGTAGTTTCTTCATCTTGAACAAACAGGTCTTCCTACTCATGAGCAGAGCACTTCGTCCTCTTGCCCACGCATGTACTTTGTGATTCTTGGACACAATTCATTGCCAAACCTGCAGATCTCTGTTCATGTTAGAGTAACTGTTCTTGTATAGTTAGACTGATGGCCTGGGGAGCAATCACTCTTCCAGTATTTATTGATGCAATGTTGACTTGAATACATATTTATGATAATGATATATTGTTTTGAAACAAGAATGTGATTTCATTGATGTATCTAATCACTCACTGAGATTTGTTTGAGAATGAGTATCTTGTACACACAGATGATGTATCTGTTTCTGAAACACTTATATGTTTATCATAAGTGCTTGCAAAAACATCAATCACATAAGTGTAAATGTTTTGAGAATTCCAAGTCCACTAACAACACACACTAATATCACCTTTCTATCAAAACCCTATCTTCCCAAAATCAGCAATAATCCCCAAGAAATTCAGCTTCTCCTTGCCACACCAAAACAGAAAGGAATTCCATTCCAGAACTGGTCAATAAACTAACACAATGATTCCCTGTGGCTTCAGAGTTCCTCTTTTCATTGTTTATCTGGGATTTCTGGCTTTAAATCTTGTATCTTCATCACTTTGGAAGGCCTCAGAGGATCAAGAATGGGAATACACTGGGTCTGTGGACCATTTGATTGACTGGACAGATGATGAACCTATCAACATGAATCAAATTCTTGCCTCCACATCAAGACCATCTATCCAAGAATCTGGTCAAACAAATTTGTCCAATGAGGTTCAATCCTCTTCTTCAATCTTTCAAAACCAACACTCTCCTTCACATCTCAAAGAAATGTTTCACCCCTCACAATTATTTCACTCAAGTTCTGAACACAATAATCAGGTTTTGTCTTTTGCTTCCCCAGCATCAACTCTAGAAGACTCATCCATGGAAACTAGTGGGCCTTGGCCATTGGATCAGATTGTAGCAAACCCTCATGATTTATTTCCCACTAATATTGGAGTAGAGGAATTTTCAAATCATCAAGAAGATATTCACAACACTGAGATTGTTTCCAGTTTACCAATAATTTTTGAGCCTGAAATGCTTCAATCCATTCTTACTCAGGTAGAGAGAGTACCAACATTCCACTATCCAACATCAAATGGAGTTTCCAGAAATCCTGAAGCTCAAACAGAAACAGATGTCACAAATAATCCTCAATTATCCACTAGCTTTGACACAGAAGACGCAGGCTGTGTAAATTGGACAGGCATCCTCACTAGCAATATTGCCCAAGAAACTGGGTCTCAGCCATTTGATTTGATATCAAAAAATTCTCATGGTGCTTATTCAAACATTGGAGTAGATCACCTACAAGACATTCACAGAACTGATATTGGTTCAAGTTTAATGGACATTCTTGAGCCTGAATTGGTTCACTCTATTCTGGATCAGGTAGAAAGAGAACCAATATTCCAACCCTCAACATTCTGTGGAGTTGACAGACATTCTGAATCAGAATCAACACCAGATGGAGCAACGAATCCTCCAATATCAAGCAACCTTGACTCAGACAACACAAGACAGTCAAATCTGTCAGCCAGCCTCTCAACAAATCCAGACAATCAACAAATGAAAGCTGATTCTCAAACACATGATCAGATACACACAAAACATAATGGTGCTCATTTGAATATTGGGGTGGAAAGTCTTCCAGATCAGTCAGAAGATATCCACAGCCCTGGAATTATTTCTGGTTTGTCAGAACTTTTTGATCTGGAAATGCTTCAATCTATAATAGATGAGGAAGGGAGAGGTCCAAGAAATCCTGAAGCAGAAGCAGATGAATCAATAAATTCACAGATTTCAAACAACATCAAAGCCCAATCTTCAAGTTGTTTGAACTATTCAGATAGCCTTGGCCACAAAAGACCCATGAATTATAATGTGCCTGAGAGTATAAGGTACAAAACCCCCAAAAGAACAAAATTATCTCAGACTGAAAATGAAAATCATCAGCTAACAGTCTCAGAGATACACTGTAATGATGATCAAATAGGTACAGAGGGATCTGCTGGCAGAAACTCAATTGATGAATACAGGAGGGGTGCTTTGACAGGAAGAGAGGATGTTCTTCACAGAATACCAGATTTCCAATCTTCCTCTAATGGATCCCCATTACCAGTACCAGTTTTCCGGAATAAAATTGGGCTTGAAGGAATTCTCAAGTTTGACTTGAACGTATTTACTCATGAAGAATATCCAAATGAATCAGATAGGATTGCAGCTCAATCCATCATTACATTTATCAAGAGAACTTTTGGTGAACATGGCAAAATTCATTTCACTGGAAATGACTCAACATCAATTCAATTAAAATTGAGAACTGCATCTGCTACCTGGAAAAATATCAAAATATCTAAAAACTCTCCCTCTTTGAATAGAATTACTCCAATGAGAGAAAACCCTGAGATCAGTAGCTCTGAAATTGAAAGACAAGAACCTGGAAGGGCAAAAATTGGACTAGATTCTCTAATTTCAAGCAAAAAGCTTTGGCATGAATTTTGGAGTGAAAGAGCAAATATTCAAATTGCAAAGGGAACCTCACAGAAGGAATATAGATTTGAAATAACAGTGACTTTATTTGTTATATATGTTGATATGATTGGTAGTATCCTTGGATATCATAGTAAATTTCCAAAAGATGATCAGACAAGTCTTCTGGAGCAAGCCAGAAAGTTTGTGTTGGAATTAGAACCAGGGTCTTATCTCAAGAAGATAACCGGAGAAAAAGGAAACACCCAAATCAGCTCAAATTCTTCTAGTAATGATTTGAAAAAACAACCTGGTAGGAGAAAGGCCAAACCTGAAATCCCTGTCTATGAGTTGATGGAAAGCAAAATTACCAATTGTGAAAGAACATTTGCCTTGATGTGGAAGTGGGTTGGACATTTAATCAGACAATCCAAGAATGAACATCTCATTTCCATTTGCTTGCAATATGGAAAACCAGAAGTTCATTTATACATCAAAACATTCTTCAACAATATCTTCTTTCATTCAATCCAAAATTTGAATATCAGATTGAAAAAGTATTATGAACCATTAACTAGTTGAATAATTGGCTTTGAATCACTTCCTTGGTGTTACCTTTTCTGTGCTTTTCTAGGAATTTTTCCCCATATTTTGAATATTCGTAGTTTGCTTAAATCTTGAGTAGTATAAGCAGTAGCTTTATTTTAAATTCATAATCAGCCATGTTAAAGTGAGAATTTTGAGCCTAATTTTCCATTTTGATTCTATCCTTACCTAAGGATGTCTGGATTTATCATCCTCTTATTTTACTTCAGAGTAATGTCCTTTGCTTCCCAAAGTTTAGCTATGTTATTTATTCTACAAATTCCTTCCCACCAACCAGTCCTAGAGGGGGGGGGGATATACCTTACTAGATATTAACAATTAGTTTTAGAGGGAAAAGGGGGTGTAAAACTTTAAACCTTGGCACTTGTTGTGAAGATCCATAAGAGATTGGTATCTGGCCTCTCAAACTTGTGCCCCAAGGTTTGCATCCCAAACTCAATCAGGAAAGTATCTTTGAAAATAGGAATCCCAATGAGTGCCTGCCCTCACCACAAAAATCTGGTACATGAGGTGATATTTTGCAAATTTTCCTCTACCAGTAGACATTTACAGGTTGTATCAGCACAATTATTTTTTCAAAGGAGGGTCAAGTTCTTTGGAAGAAGGGTACATGCTGTACCAATTTTCTGGTAATGTGGCATTTACTTGGCTATCTGGTGTTGGTTTTACCCACTCATCAGGAAGGGTTCTAACTTGATTTACTCTTCAAATTGGTGAAGATTGAACCAGCTCACAGGTAAGGCCCCTTTTGCTCTTGGAGAACTAAGTGTCTTCAGGGGGCCAGAGTTCCCAATGTAAAGCAACTCCTCCCATTGGGTGATGGAAGAAACATGTCTTGAGTTAGCCCTTCCCTAGGCTGACTGGTACAGTATTTATCAGCTCCTGTGGAGGGCTCCTTTGTGTTTCAAACTGGTGCAGGTTTTATAATCTTTTTGCAGAGCAGTAAATATTTTGTTGACTGGTACGGCCTCAGTTTGCCAAGAAGCACAAGCTACCAGCCAGTTTAGGAAGGTAGCCCTACTTTGCAAGCTGTAACAGTTGACCTAGGCATCCCAAAAAGCTGGGAAACTCTTCCCTGAAGGATTTTTACTTGTATGGCAGCCTGAACCAATGTATGTTTGCTTCTAGATCAATCTCAAAATATTAGGCCTCTTGATTAACAAATAATTTGAATCAAATGACAAACTATAATACAAAAAAGCCTTTAGAGGATTGATGCGTGTAAATCACAAGCAAGCGGAGCAGCGCAGTAATGACAAGCGTAAAAGAGAGATACAGATGAGCCAAGAGAAGATAGAAATGGAACTGAAGGTTGTAGCAGAAACATGATAAAGGAGTGAGACATAATGATACTTTTTTGGTTAGAGCTAAGAGAACCATTACAACAGAGTGAACAAACTATTTAAGGTATCTATCAGGTTTAGGGCTACTGTGCATGTCTGTGTGCAGCTATGTGAATATAATCTAATCTAGAATATGCTTATAGATAGAGTGATTAAAAATTTGCTGATACATACTCATTTCGTGAGCAATATATGTACAAAATTTGATGCCTTGGTAGGAAAAGCCCTATACATTTTGGTAACCAGAAATCCCATATTTTGATGAATTTCACACATCAGTGGAAGTAAGGAAGTTTCATGTTTGGTTCCATTGTTACATTTTTGACCATTGAAGGAGCCTTATGTAACCACTGAAATATGTTTTATAACAGTTATCTTGTGTACAAAAATCACTGATCATATTCTAAAACAATATTGGTTGTGTTTGAGTGCTTGTAATTTGAAATTGTGATACAATTGATAGAATCAGTGGGAGTGGTTTGGGAGAGCACATTCTTCCATCAATACAAATTGAGACAAGCTTTATATCAAAATATTTCCCTCCCACAATCCAACATCATCTTCAAGCACCTGAGCTTCTTATAGATATCTCCTTCTTAAACCAGTCATCAAGCTACCCAATGATTTTGTGTGGGTTAAAATTCCAAGTTTTCCTGGCTTATCTTGAATTGTTTGGTTTCAAGTTCATCTTTTCCTTACCTTGGGAGTCTTCAGAAGATCAAAAATGGGAATCCACTGGGTCTGTGAATCATATGCTTGACTGGGCAGACAATGAACCTCTCAACATTAATGACATTCTTTCCTCCCCGTCAATACCAACTATCCAAGAATATGGTCAAGAAGGGATGGCCAGAAAACTCCAATCTGCTTCATCACACTTTGAAAATGAACAAACTACTTCAAAACCCAAAGAATCAGGATACATATTTGCTTCTCAAGGAAATGGCCCAGATGATAGGGGTTCAGGTACTGATAATCAAAAACACAGAAATTTTGAAGATTTGCCAAGGAATAACATAGAAACTATGTTCATCCCATATGATTCTGTGGAAAAAATGGCCCATGTTAGTAATTCAGAAAATGCAGTGCACCCTTTGCAACTTCATCCAAGGCCTGACCATGGGAGTCAGGGTTTTTCTTCGGACTCTACTGAACAGACTCTCAAAAATCCATCCATGGAAGCTGGTTATATTCTGTATGATCAGAACTCAAAAGAGAATCATGGGTTTCATCCAAATTACATTCAAGTAGAAAATTTCAGAACTCACCAAGATGATATTGGAAAAACTGATATTCTTTCCAGTTTTTCAGTTACTTTGGAGCCTGAAGTTCTTCAGTATCTGATAGCTCAGGTAGATAGAAATAGAGACCCAAAATTTTATCATCCATATTTAGATTTGCTTTCCAAAAATTCTGAATTAGGAGCACAGGCAGAAATGGCATTAGATCCTAAATTCTCAACCAACCTTGGCACAAGATACACAAGTAATTTGAAACAGTGCTTCAACCCCTCAAATAATCTTGGGAACTCATTCATAGATCTTGGCTCTCAGCCATATTATCAGATTTCAACAGATTCTCAAGATAAAGTTGGATTAGAAAATATTCAATATCAGCTAGAAGATATCCATAAAACTGAGATTTGTTCCAGTTCACTAGAAATTTTTGAACCTGAAATGCTTCAATCTATTCTAGCTCAAATAGAGAGAGAGTCAAAATTTCACAACCCAACACCCTATGGATTTGAACAAAATTCCAAACTAGAAACAGTACCAGACCATTCAGAAAACAATCATCAAGTCACAACTGACCTTCATGCAAAATCCACAGAGTATTTGTATCAGGCAGGAAGTTTACCACACAATCTTGAAAATTCATCCAGAGGAATTTGGACTCAACCATATGAACAGCTACAAGCAAAAGCTCATCCTTCAAACAAGGGAGTTCAAAACATGCAGGATCCCCCACAAGGCATTGACAGGAATGAAATGATGTCAAGTTTACCTGCAATTTTTGAATCTGAACTTCTTCCATACATCTCTGATCATGCAGATATAGAATCATTATATTTGCACACACCAAATGGATTTGCCAGAGATTCTGAAATAGAGACAGGGACAGATGCAACAAAAGATCATGAATTTTTAACCAACCCTGAAACAAGCACTGTGAAATATCCAAATCCTTCAAGAAAACTCCCAGAGGAAGCTGAATATCTGTTTAAGGGTGGTAGGTCTCAAACACATCATCTGAAATCAAAAGATCCTTCTGGTTCTCATTCAAACATCCCAATAGAAGAGTTTCAAGAGAGGCCTAAAGAAATTCACAACAATAAGAATATTTCCAGTTTGCCATCCATTTTTGAAAGCTCTATTATTCCATCTGCCCAATCTCAGTTGAACATAGAAAGAAAAATTTCACCTCAAAAATCAGAGGGATCTTCCAGAAATTCTGAAGTAGACACAGCCAGAGATGAAGGGATGGATCCTCAATCTTTGAACAATTTTGAAATCTTATCCTCAAGAAATTTGGAAGGTACAGGTATTCTTGCACACAGTTTGATTCTATATCATGCTCATAATACCAGAGGGAAACCCCACAAAAGAAGAAAATTATCTCAACCTTCAAATACAATCTTCAATAATCAAGTAGCAGCCCCAGAGATAAACCTAAATGATGATCAAATTGATGCAGAAGATTCCATTCAAAGGCAATCAATTGCCAACCAATACTCAGATAATATTCCACCAGAAGTGGAAAATGGTCTCAACACAACCCCAATTGATCACACTTCTCCCACTGGACTTAGCACACCAATTCACCAAAATAAGATAGATTTTGAACAAATCCTTGTGTTAAATGTGGAAGTGTTCACCCATGAAAAATATCCAAATGAATCAGATAGGCTTAGAGTGCAATCCATGATTTCATTTATCAAAAGAAATTGGGGAAAAACAGGGAAAATTCTTGTTACAGAAGAAAATTCAGTACCTTGGATCTTTAGAGAATTCTCACAAGCAGCTTTGATTTTGAACAGCTTTCAAACAGCTAAAATGAGGAGCTTTTTCAATGGAGAAACCAAAATGAGCAAGAACTGGTCTCAGACAGGAATTCCCAGAATTCGGAAATCAGATTTTGAAAGAAATCAACTTGAAGTGAAAGCCCTTAACCACCTCATCTCAAGCAGAAATCTATGGTATTTATTCTGGAATCAAAAAGCCAATGTTCAAATTTTCAATGGAATCTCAAAAGGGGAATTTAGATTTGAATGCACCACAACTTTATTCCTGGTATACATTGATATCATTGGTAGCATCCTTGGATATGATTGGAAATTCCCAGAAGATGGACATCTGAGTCTTCTGGAGCAAGCAAGAAATCTGGTTTTTGAGTCAAGCCCAGGATCCTATCTAGAAAAGATCTTGAAAGAAACAGAAAATCAGGAGATTCCTTCACACGGTGCCAATTATCACTTAGAAATTGAACCTCCCAAAAGTCAAGCTATAATTACTGTTTTTGAGTTCAAGAACAAAAGAAATACCACAGTCAGAAACAAGTATACTTTGATTTGGAAGTTGATAAAAAACCTGATACTCAAGTCAAAAAACAAACACCTACATGATATCTTTTTTCAGAAGAGCAATTCTAAGATTCACTTCCATATCCAAGCTTTCTTCAACAATGTTTTCTTTTACTCAATCCAAAATTTGAATATCAGATTGAAAGACTATTACAAACCATTAAGGAATTGAACAATTGGATTTAATTTGAACATTCTTCTTCTGATTCAGTCCCATTCATGAGTATCTTCTTTCAAATTTTTCAACATTCATGGTTTTTCTGAATCTTTGATAGTATGAGAATTGGATGTACTGTTATTTTGGATTTGGTCATTGAATAATTGCCTAGCTATTTCAGTTTGATCCTCTTTCTGTCTGGAATCTATCACTTATTTCTTTTTTCAACTTTATAATATTTATCTCTTTTAGCTGACTTGTTGGTAGAGATGGTCATGGGGTATCTGTTGCGGATACCCACTATCCGCTGGCGGATACCTGCCAGGGGGTACAGATCACCGCTTTTCCCCCAAAACCTGGAAGATATCTGGGTATCTCCAGGGATACCCAAGGCCAAGAGGATGAAAGTGGCCGGCTGGAAGGGTTTCCTTCCAGCCGGCAAGAGGAAACCCCTCCACCAGCAAGGTCGTGCCTTGCCAACCATTTAAAGGGCAGGTATCCATGGATACCCGCTGTGGTCGCCGGATACCCACCAGCGGATGCGGATGTTCAATTCCGCTAAAAAAGGGAGGGGATATCCGGATGCGGTGGGGCCATCTCGAGTCATTGGTCACATCTCTTTTCAACCAAAAATGATCAAGTTCATTTGATCCAGCCAAGTTCTGCATTGAATTCATTTCCAATGCTTCCAGCATAGTTGGCCACTGCCAGGCTGAGGATCACCCATTCAAACTGGGATGCACTCAACCAATTTCAAATTGGTCGAGTGTGTCCCATGAAGAAGGAAACTCTTTAGGTGTCTCACATGATGAATATTCTTACCCCAGCTCCTATCCTTTGACATTGCCCCTCTCACTTAATGTATGAACTTTGGCCTGTGGAACAACACTGCAACAAATACAATACAGTTTGTATCATCTGGAATCTTACCAACATATGTGGCAAAGTGCCAGATTAAATGAGTGAGACTCTCATTAGAACCACATTGGTCATGAAAAAAAAAATTACATCCAGACCATGATGATACATGAAAAAAAATACATGCCAATACATTGCAAATACCGTATTTGTTGCAGCATTGGTTGGAGGTATACATACAGGGGCATGGATTCTCCATGCCATCCTTTCTTAATTAGAACTCCTGTAATCAATTGATGGCCAATTGAAATCAAGTCTTTCAAGTAAGGCCTTACATACCCCCAAACGATTCTATTCTGTCTCCTGTTCCTTCCATCCTCCCCTATAAACCCTTCCCATGATAATCATTGTTTTCACTCAAACAAAAGATAATGCGGATTAATGGGATTGTCTCCAATGGTTTTCTACTAGATGTAAGACAATCTCAATATACTTCTCTACTAGGTTTTTGTTTTCCTGGTAACACAAGACTGTCAGAAAAATGTCACTTTTTTTATAATAAAAATAAATAAATAAATGAATAATTATGTTGGTATAATGATATCAACTTTACAATTTTTTTGAAGAGCATGCATACATTTGTTGTAACAGTAAGCCTTCTTTTACAATCCCAAGGACCAAAAATAACCATTGCCCTTTTTTTTATTTACAGAAGAAGAAGAAGGAGGAGGAGGAAACAAATCAATCGAAGAATAATTTCCAATGAGGCTAAATGAGGCCGGGATCAAAAAAAAAAGGATAGAGAATGAGCAAGAGAGCCAAAGTCAGTAAAAGTGGTACAGAAGAAGAAGACGAGAGATAAGATAAGGTACCTGTTCATTAGGATTTTGAGGAGCCTGAGAGGGCAACAATTGTTCGTCGTCATCGTCGTCGTCGACGATAGCGGAATGAGAGAGGGAGAGACGTTGACGTTTGCGATTCTGGCTGAGGGCGATAGCATCCTGTTCGACCTGAGCCCAAGCATCAGCGGGCATCCTATCCAGCTCGTCCTCCTCGTCCTCCTCCTCCTCGACCTCTTCGGCCGGTTTGAACAATTTCTGAGGCTTGGGATGGATTCCAGCGGGAGGATTCTTGGTTGGTGGACGAGGACTATTCAGATGGATGGAAGATCTGGCGGAGGAGTCGACACGACTACTACTACTAGTCGAAGCGGCCGGTTGCTTGCCCTTGATCGGGATCGGGCGGCGGCCAGGGGCGCGGTCTGTCGACCTTCGAGCGGCCTCTTTGGCCGGCTCGAGCGGCCCAGACTCCTCCCCATCCGTGCTGGCAAGCACAAACTCCAGCCCAACACATCCCTCCTCGTTGAGCACCGAGAAATAGACCGGCCGACCGCCAACAGAGAAGCCCGCATCCACCGCACTGCCTAACACACTCCCAAGCTCAATGATCGATCGCACCTCCTTGATCGCCATCGTCGTCATTATCGGGCCCCCTCTTCCTTCCACTTCGTACTTCTCAAACTCGCTCGAATTCACTGTCAATGATGTGGCTAGTTGTCTCACTCCTTTCGTAAAGATATCTTGCTCTACATTGAGGAGAAAAAAAAGAAAGAAAGTTCAAATCCCTTAGATTAGCACTACCAAAAAAAAACCAGACTAGGAATTGTTTTTCTTTTTTTTTTGGTTTGGTAAAAGTGATATATGTTTGGTTTCTAGAGCTCACTCTTGGGGACGATTATATTAGAAGTGTATTCGTCTGCGAGATTAACGGTTTTGATGAGGATCTGGCGATCGGGGAGATAACAGAAGCAGATATCCTCGATTCCATCGAGCGCGCCGACGAGGTTCTGAGTGATATTAGGATTGGAGACGAAATGGTCGAGCCATTGTTTGAGATGACTGGACAGACAGACCCAACGGTTGGGACTATTATTGGCACGAAGGTCGGTCGGATTGAGGGTGCGTGAGTTGGAGTAGGGCAGCGAGAAGGAGCGGATGATGCCGACGGTCGACTTGAGTTTGATCGTCAGTCGATGGTTCAATCGCTGTCCCCCTGTCTGTCCTCCGCCACCACCTCCGTTGACGCCTGATGGTCGTCTAGAAATCGATAACGATTCGTTCGCTTGATCCGAATCGATCGAAATCTTGCACGATTCGAGCGCGGACATCAGGTTCGATTGGGCAAAGATCTTGTGCAATGGCTTAAAAAACCCCTGATGGTGAGCAATTTCCTTCGATGGTAAAGAGTACGACCAGGTTGGACAGACCTTGAGAGCCACTTCGATCAAGCCCAGGGTAGGGTTCGAGAGCACATATGACTCGAAGAAGGTCCGTTCGAAGATGGCGACGGCATAGGTCGACCTGGTGGGAGAGACAGCCGAGAACTTGAGTCGAGCGGGGAGTGGATGGATGTGGATGAAGTCGGAGAAGGACTTGAAGGTCTTGAGGATGGCTGTGAACTCTGTTCTTGGGAGAAAGAGCTCGTCTGTCAGCTGAGGGGTACTCTTCTGGTGCTGTTGGTGAACTGCTGACCTTTGACCGAGCTGGATGGGATCGAGAGTTCCATCTTTGTTTCCCTCTAAAAGAGGAAGAGATTCAACAAACACCCTCACTTGGAACTGTGGATAATAAACGCAAGCATGGATTGCACGATGAATTCAAATCATTCGATAAAAATAGCATAAAACGATCCTGTGTAATAACAACCCCACAGAATAAAAGAGATCAAATAAAGGAAGAAGTCCATCGATCCAGTACATCTATATTCTAACAGATGAGCTCAACATATTATGTTGTATACATGGGTAATGGTTGCAAAAAAAGAATTCTTAAAATGTCTCAAAAAAAAAAAAGAAAGAAAAGAAATAAAAATTAATTTAAAGAAAAAAAAACGTCCCCAGAAACAAGATAAGTTTTTTTTTTTTTTTAAAAAAAAAAAGCCAGAGAATCGACTGGGGTAAAATTTTAAGCAGCAATGAGTCTAGGTTTCTTTCCTGTCTCCAAAGAAGAAGGGTCGAGAGAAGCTTGATGGTCGGCCAACCTAGGGGGCGACAACGAGGGACCTTTACGTTTCCTACTAGCGGTCAACAGGACAGAGGAGCCGATACGATCGGGAGAGATCGACGAGGACGAGGCCTCATCGACGTTGATGATCTTCTGACGACTGATGGCATCAGGATCCAAGCCAGCTTGATCGGAGAATTCGACCAAGGAAAATCGATTGACGTTTTCCTTCTTGGCTAGATGATCTCTCGATTGGACGAGCTGAGTCTTATTGGTGTTATCCATCTCAGACTCGGAGGGGGTAGTGGTGAGGGACAAGGCTCGGGGATTAGCTAGCCGCTTGTTGCTGTCAGGAGCATTGGCAACGGAGGACAGGCCTCGGGAGGCTTTCTTGGGTTGACCAAGCCCTCCAGCCTTCAGTTGCATGCGTTTCTTGTGATTACGAAGGGTCTCAAAATGACAAGTAGCATGATAGAAGACCGTGGTTTGTTTGGTTTCATTAAAGCTCTCGATCGCATTGATCCAGAAGAACTCATCCTCCTCCTCATCAAGTTTAGTGTCGAAAGGCTCGAGACAGATCGGACAGGGCTGGGAAGCCAATAGGGACGAGCTCGGTCTGACTACGGTCTTGCGCCGGAGCTCGGCCATCTTCTCCTGCTCCTCATCCATCCTCCTCGTCGTCGAGGGAGACCGACTGCCGTCCGGTCTGGGATGGGCCTTCTTGCCCGTGAGATCCGTGTCCTGGGAGTACAGCCAGGTGGACTCGGCCTGGGCCCACATCCGCTGTTGTGCACGCTGCCCGGACTCGTGCACCTGGCGCTGGATTCTGAAGTATCGGTCTAGCTGGTCAGACGCGCGTTGGTTGCCGATCTTGCCCGGCAAGAATCGGCTGCCATCCTGTCTGCAAAACTGGGGGATGTCCGAGTAGAGCAGATCAGCTATCTCGCTAGGCTTCACTCGGTTGATGGATGCGTTCTGGAGCTCGATCGAGAGGCCCGCAATCTTGTCTTCGTACTCCATCACTGCTGGATCCGGGTGATCACGCAATCTACAGTTCCCATCTGAGTTCGAGCTCGATGGCGATGGACTGAGCTTTTGGGCTGACTCATGAGATTGCTCCCGCATAAAAGGAGTGGCGTTTTGTTGAGTGTTACATTGAGGTAAGTTGAGGGCAGTCAAGGCAGCGGCAAGATGCTGGCTATCAAACAGATTAAAATTGAGTGGGGCTTGGCTGATTGGTTCGGAGACAAGAGAGGTGGTCTGCTGGGGCTGGACAAACTGGGACAGAATGTCTGATACGTTTTGGAAGGTGGGGTCGAGGACGGGCTGAGCCACAGCCGCTTGAGGAGGCTGGGCTTGATGTGACTGCTGCATCACTTGCTGGAGAATGTTTGGGTTGGCTTCGAGGAAATGATTAAGCTGGGCAAGTGCGTCCGAGTCCTCAAAGATGTTGGGTGGCTGAGAAAGGTGATGAGACGTGCTAAAGGCGGGATGTTGCTCGATGGGGGGTGGTGGGGGAGCTGCAAGCTTGAGAGGTTGAAGCTGCTTGCGAATTTCCTCGACTTGAGACATAGTCAACTGTTGAGTGGCCACTAATTGCTCGAGCTGTGATAGAAGAATCAAGGGGTGAGTGACGGAAAAATCATATACAAGAAGAAAGAAAAGGGAAGGGGACTCAACCTGCTGCAAGGTGTCGATCTGGGCTAGATTGGCTTGGTCGGTTGGAGCATGGGTGGCAATGTCTCGTCGGTCGGCCAATATCCTTCGCAGGTCAAATAAGATGCTAGCTTTCTCGGCAGGCGATGCGATTGCTGGTAGTTGCTTAACCTACACAAATGATGAAAAATTGCAAGTTAGGAGATGTCTAGAAAAAATCATACATCAAGGGGAGCTTACCCCGTTTTCAAATGCCAGACTATTTGGGGCTTCATTCCCATGTCGCCAACTACCGAAGATGCCATCTTCCATTTTTCTTTGGAGCTCGGGGCCAAAAAGTTCGGATTGCGCTGCCGAGCCAGTTCTCCAGGTACCTAGCAGCTCTTCGAACTTGATCTTCAGAAAAAATGAGATGAAGGGATCAGCTCGAGAAAAGTCTCAAATTGGCTTGATTTGCAGGAACTGGAAGGAGATCAAGACATACTTTGGTGGCTGGATTAAGGTGTTCGACCTCCCTGTAAGCAGTCAAGAAGAGATGCTCGATGGATGCTTTGAAAAGCTCGGGGAAGGGATGGCCAAGGTTTTTACAGATCGAGTCTAGGGCGTAAAATCCTATGAGTCTATGGGCGGGATGGCTCTGCAAGAGGAGAACAAGTATTCAAATCAGCATCAATCATCATTAAAGGTAACTTATTCTTTTGTGAGAAAGAAGAGGGGCGATGAGAGGGATAGGAGATAGAAGACGATGTGCTGTTGCAAGGCAGACCAATGTCTGAAAAAATTCAGAGCAAACACCACAAGAAGCTAGGAATCAAGCCGTAATCCAACATGTGGTAGCTATAGCTCGGCTGAGAGAGAGCAGACTCGAGAATAGATCTGCGGAATATGACAGGCTAGAATAGCTCCAGTCGACTCCCGATTCCATCGTCCGGGTGAGATAACTATCGCCGGTGGTGAACTGGTCTTGCGTTAAGCTTGACTGAGAGACGGCTAGCGGAAGAGTGGATGAGCGAAGTGCCGCTGGTTGGAGAGGATAAGTAGGGTCCAGGGCTCCTCAGGAACCAGATTGATCCCACTCTTAGCCGAGGCATCCATCCGAATCGAGAGTCTTGAAGCCAAAGTATCAAGTGCCAGACAATCGTTCCAGCAGGTCATCCCGCCGCCGTGAACAGTGCTTTATTCCAGCTTGCCCCAAGCCAAGGGGGGGCACGACTACTGGAAATACTGCCTCTCACATTCAATCAAGCCTCTCCGAGATGAAGATAATCATGCAGTCAAATGCCCCAAATGGGCAACAAAGCATTCAAATAATCAAGAGTGGTGGAGGTTGAACAAGATTTTCGGATGGGTGGAATGCACATTGGAAACAAAGCGATCAGGCCAGCTAGCTCGGGATACAACATGGTTCTTCACAGATCAACGGTAGAGTGTATCGAGTCAAGTTCTTATCTCAGAAGCGGCCGAAAGTGGTGGTGGTAACTGGGGGGCGGGGGGAAGCTCTTATTGGTGTATTCTCTGCTGATCTGATGTTGATTTGGAGGGGAGCGAGTGAGCTAGTGGACGCCCAACAACGATGCGATTTCCGATTGATGGCGAACAGGGTAAACGAGCGTATACGGCCAAGCGGGACGATTGGCGATGGTCAACTGGGGAGGTCCATCAGAGGAGATGATTGAGGTTCTCCAAGTTCGAATGCGACTGGCAGTCGGCTAGTGTGAGTGGGTCTCGGTCTGTGGCTGGAACTGATCTCACTTTATTGGCACACTGATAGCTCACCGTACTAATTCAGCTTTTGCGAGTGAAGCGACTCTCAACAGCGAATGAAGTCTCTCTCCCGCTATCCCCACCATCCGAATGCGGAAGGAGAGACGATGGAAGAAGACAAAAAGGAAAAGGGAGAAACTTAATAGTAAAGAGGTTTTTGAGAGAATCGGGTCCTTACCTCTAAGATGTACTGCTCAATCTCTTTGACGATACAAGTGGCCATTCGATGATGGTACACACTGGCAAGAGTAGTCAAGTCGTTGATGATATACTTATTGTTTTGCTTTAGTTGCGATAAACCAAATGAGAAGAATCTGCGGAACTCATGAACATCATAGCCGATGGAAGGAGGTGGGGTGGGCAAGCCTTGCATGGGTGGCGGTTGATGATGATGAGGGACAGGAGTAGGAGACATGGAGGGTGCTGGGTTGTAGAGAGTATGTGGGGAACGGTGATGGTGGGATGGGCCGGATATGAGGTTAGACATTTTACTTGGTTTTTGTGTGTATCTGCTATATTTGAACAATCAAGATCAGGAGATGGGTAAAAAGGAGAAAGGTCGACGATAGCGTGGGGTGGAGCGAGGGTGAAAGGGCACGAGGTTGCCAAGCGAGCAGGATTAAATACCGAGGGGAACTGGACAGGACACGAGACGAGACTGAACGGATCCGGCTGGACTTGTCTCAGTCCAGCTTCAGTCGGCTGACTGCGCCACGACAGATGATTTGCACATGCATTTGCATAAAATGCACTTTGGTTGGTTTGCGCTAAGGATACGATCCGGTGCCCCGGGTCCGGGTAGAGCTCATCCGGCATCCGTACCCGGTATATCCGGCCCCAACACCGGGTATCCGCCGGATGCGGCATTTTTTTTTTTTTCAAGGCTTGTATTTGTGGCTGTGAAGTAAAGAGGATGAAAAGCTGAGGAACCCCAGCCTCGAGTGCACCATGTGAGCAAGCGTTCTCGGTTGGACGACATATTCAAACATACACTCGTAACCGGATGTCGCTCAACACCTTGGAATCACTGATTTGCTTGAAAGACTGGGTTAATCAGGACATTGTTGATGTCAATGATATAACTACCTAACAATTCTCTTTGTCGTTGACTTCCGGATTCTTTTCATCTTTTCTCAACCGGTCCTTTTCTCTCAAAATCGATCCTGCTAAAAATCTTATCTGAACAGTTGATACAATACCACCTTGCTCGTCGATTTCCACTTTTGTTTCCATGTCCTCTCACATACATGCGCCAGTCAGAACACAATTGTCGATTCCAGTATTTCTTTTCATGTCTTCTCACATACATACATCTTGAGAGCTGCTTGTCTGCTCTGAGAGTTGGGACTCCGAGCTCCCCATCCCTAATAGCTTGTACCCGCCGGATACCGGGTATGCACACACCACATCCGACACCCGACCCCACCCGGCATCCGGTCGGGTATTGCCGGGTATCCCGGGTCCGGATCGTATCCTTAGTTTGCGCCCGTCCTGGCCCGTCGACTTTCCTCGTCAATTGGACAACACCCCGGCCCCGCTCGGAACCATCCGAAAACCCCATCGGGTTTCCTCCTGAGAGAAGAGCACAACACAGGTGTCTTTCAGCTTCGACGTGCCACCTCTGGAAACCCCCTCCACATGAGAATAACCAAAAAAAACATGGATTTTGTCCCAAATTCATACATTTTCAAGAGCCCTCATTGACATCCATCTCATGCCTATTATAACCCTCCATCTAGCTGCAGGGGCAATGGAGAGCAATGAAAAATGAATCATGGAATATTCATTCTTTCCTTGAAAACTGTGGGGTTTTAATGTCCTCCTCTCAGGCTGAGATTTCCAACTTGTGCCTTTTCTTTTTTGGAATATTATCAAGACCCTGTGGTGCTGCAGCACAGGACCCAAGAAAATTCTTGTGTATGCCACCACTCTTGCTTGGGAAGCACTATTGTGAGCCTCCCTAATGTCTGTTCTACCTATTCATATTTTCCTAAACTCTTGTTTCATGCCATCAGACCCCCTGCTACTATGATGTTAGATAATACTCGCCACATGGAGCCATAAAATAACTTCCTAATAAAGATATCACAATCAGCACCACAGTGGGGCCCGGGGACACCATATTAATGTAACAGACTTTACAGTGTCCAAAATTTTGAGGAAGAAAAACCCAAAAACTCACCCCTCTGGGTGGCAAAAAAATTGTTTTTTTTTGCTCCGGCTGAGGTTGCATGGCTTTTGCCATCAGACTTGGCTGGTCCGGTTGTAAAATTATTGGTATATATCAATCACACTTCTGGATCTGTATCTTGTCCCGGTTTTATTGCATTAAAACTGAGAAATATACACCTCAGTGGCATACATATGATTGAAAAGATCATGAAGAAATCCAAGAAGCCTTCACAAGATTAGGCAAAAAAATACCTTTATGTGAATCACTTCTCGGCATTATGAGACAAAAATCATGTTCATTTGACAGGGAATTCATTCCACCTTAATCAATAAAATCTTCTGTCAGCTCCCATAAATGCAGCCTAGCTCCACCACAGGATCCACATTGACCTTTCTGCAGAGCATCAGGGGCAATGCAGTCAAGGTAGGTTCTTTCTATCATCACTGCAAGAACAAGTCAGGTAACTATGTACAGTTGACATGTGATATTACAAAGGCACCTTTGTAATGTCACATGTAAGCTGTACACAGTTGCCTGACTTTTCCTTGCAGTGCATGGTACTGGGGATAAGACCTGAACACAATGGTCATAGGCTGTCACAGTGGTTTTGAAATAAGAAACAGTAAGGGAAAGCAGACTGACAAGATTCATAAGATTTGATAAGCTCCACACGAAAATGGCATGGGTTTTGGATATGTCCAATCAACATATCCTTGATGGAAAAATTTAAAAAACTGATAACAAGACAAGCAAAATGATACTCTCATATTTTGATTTTGATGGTTTTTAAGGAAGTTGGGTGATAAACCAACCAAATTTTGAAATGCAGAAAGAGACAAAACCAGTCAACATAAAAGATAACATAGTAAGGCAGCAAACAATTTTCAGTTAAAATCAATTTATATGGGTTTCTTCTATTGAAATCAAATCCCTGGGCACATGTAATTCTTTTTATTTGTTTATAAAAGTGAAGATAGAATTCATTTTGGATTGGATGCCCAGTCCTTAGGAAGTTGACTATGGACAAAATGCTGAAGCAATTCATGTTGATCAGATGTTAGTTGGATTGAAGCATCTTGAGGAATGTATTTGAGACTTTCAGTCTTGAGAATCAGATCAACATATTGTATACCTTCTAGAACAGCTCTCTTATGTACAGGAATTGGTAGGACTTGCATCAACTCATTAGTTAATTTCAAAACTTCAGCTTGATCATTGTTACCTTTTGAATTAATCAATAATAGTACAATTTGATCAAATGGAGCATATCCAGCATAGATGTTTAAGATGTTCAATAATTTTTGAAAGTTTGCAGGATAACTTCCTGTTAATTTTCCACCAAAAAACTGATTTTTCAAGGAGGTATCTTTTTGAGCATAATCTACAAGTTGAAACAACATTTTCTTCTGCAAGTCAGTTAAAGTGAACCTGGAAACAAGTTTATTGGGAAGTGCATTTTCTGCCCTGTATATCTTTCCCCAGGACTCTCCAAGTTGCATCTTATTTCTCTGTAAGGTTGCTATCAAGCCAGACAGTTGCTCAGTATAAGTATTATCTTTCACATGTTTGAAATTTGACCTCATCAACATGAAAACTATTTCCTGATCTTGTGGATTCAAATATCTCAAATATTTGAGGCTTGCTTCAAAAATGTTGTTTGATAAAGATGCAGATGCCATTGAATTATAATTAATGTTTTCTTCTGCCTCAAGTTTTCCATCAACTACAAATTGGGAATAATCAATTCACGTAAGCATTCAATTCTGAACAAGTTCTACATTGAGATTTAGACTTACAATCTGCTTTTGTATTTTCTTCAATCCATTTAAAGTTTCTACTTATGGATTTCAACAGCAAGGCCCTTTTCTGTTCATCTAAAACTTCTATTCCCAAAGCCTTGAGGCTTTCATCAAGAAAAATCACCGGTAATTTTGAAAGTTCATTTGCAAAAAAAAAACTCTTTTTCCACAAATACAGGTTAAGATACCAGATTAAGTTTATGTGAATTTTGTTTGGTAATCAGAGAAAATTGATTCAAATTAGTACTACACACCATTTGGAGACAAACTAATAGCTTGTGTTTTGCTGATTTCAGATGGTTTCACAGCTTTTGGTGTCACTGAATTGCCATCTTTTTCCACTTGTACCACTTTTGCATCCACTACAAAATTAGAATTCTCAACTTTCAGAGCCCAAAGTTTAACCAAAAAAGGATTCACAACTCATTGCCACTTGGAACCAAAACCACAAGGAAATTTTGACATACAAGTACTACCTGCTTTTCCAGCAGCTACAGTATGGCAATCGGGTAATATCCATATTTGGAATAGAAATATGTTTATTTCTGTTCTGCTGATTGAAAGAAGGAGCGGGATAGATTGACTCACAACCTAGCTTGATTGCTGGTAATTCCCCCTTTGCAGGGACACTGTGGAGAACTTCTGCTCTCTTAACCAGATTATTTGGAGGGTGCGCAGAGATACCACCACTGTAATAATGTAAGAGCTGTAGGGAAACTAGGACTTTGATTAAAAACATGTCTGGTTGGTCTTTTAGCAATCTAGACAGATGATGATGATGGTTGTGATGAGGAAACAAGGCTGGTGGGAGGAGTCAAACCGCAGAATCAGATGGTCCCTTATGATCTGAATTGTCTCTGTCCACATCCTGAGAAGATAGTCACCAGGAAGGCCATTATGTCTACGTACTTGCTCTCTTGCAGATTTTAGATGTCAAAATTTTACTGGCCATGAGACCATGTCAATTCTACACTGCATATGCCAATCCCCAAAGCTTGTATGCGAAGCATTTTGATTTCCTGCAACAAGCGGGCAATCGGCCTGGCCAATGGACCCTGAATCAGTATTACCCCCAACCGCATCGGACGAAACGATTGCACGATGCGACCGGACATTCAACCTGTCTTGGCTCCTGTTAAAATTCAATTACGTATCGGGAGTGTTTGTTTTAAATTTGACTGAGAAAGCCTAGAGGGCAGATGGACCCTGATGGACCGCAGACAAGTATATTCACTAGCGTTGTACCCTCAACTGAATCTGCCTAATCGCTTGCATAATCCGGCCGGAAATTCACTCATCCTGGCTGTTGCAATGTATACCTCCAGGAATGTTTTCTGTTGAGACAGGTGGGAAGTTGCGGTCCTTGGATACTCCAAGCTGACACTCAAACATCCAGGTTGGTGAACTGCCTCGTATTTATGCATCAATTTGACATGGCACTTTTTTCAGCCAGCAACCTAGAATAAAGATGAATGGAGGACTTCCCGTTGGACTTGCAGGCATTCTAATTCTTAATTTACAACTTGTAAGTCTACTAGTAGGAGGAGTAATTACGATTTCTTGATTGTGGGAAGGATGACTTTTAGGTGAACTGGTCATATTTGTGATAAGTGTGTTAGTTTTGAATTTAGATTTTTATTTACAGCACCACAAATGTCAACAGGAAGTCCTCTATTGACTTCAATGATAGAAGTCTGAAACTACCCTATATTGATGATCATAGTTACAAGCTCAGAGTGAAGGACTTGCCCTCCCTGAAGACCCTGCACTTTCAGAGTCAATTGTTTAATTTGATCACATGATTTCCCTGTGAAAATGTAGACCTTTTCAGTCTAATTTGACATCCACCAGGGCTGCAGATCCAACATGGAGACATGCAGTTTTTATTACCTTTTTCATACTTATTCATGTTTTCTTGCCTACCCCACCACAAATTCTTGCTGTCAATCTTTATCTTAGGTATTTGAGTCAGCTTGGAAAGAATATCAGCATACATTTCCTGCCCTAATGTATTCATATTCCAACCCCTCTATGTTCTAGAGCCATTCATGTCTCAGAACTCCAAACCTCCAAAGCCATCCAAATTTACCATTTATACCAGTCATCAGCTACCCTCATGATTTGTTTTCTTTCAAAACATTGATCTATATTTCTATTTCAAATTTCTCCCATGAATTCACCAAAATTTGCATCAACCTACAAGTGGAGCACTGAGCTGAATACATGTGAAAGTCTTTTGTTGAAAGTGTCTAAAAATCGTTTTCCTACATGCAGTGGCTTTCCCTAGTTAATTCCAAAATAATCACCCCCCATCCACTTCTTGCACACCAAGGATATATATTCTCTGACAAGAAGCTGATACCAACAGTGGGTAAGCTTCACTCACATTTGCATCAATGCAGCATATAGCCATGGAAACACACTAATAAAAAGTGTTTAAATTTGTCAGCTGTTCAGTGTTCATGGTTTGCCACCAAAAGTGATCAGCACACTGGGTTGGTAACAGTTGTCATATGGTCTTGCAAGCCCGTCTGGGCACAATCTCAAGTCCCGCGTGGCCGAGTGCCACCAGGGGTTTAGATTGTGCCCAGAGGGCTTGATCGGACAGGATGGGCGGGGGGCAGGACTTGGCACATAGCCAAGTCCCGCTGGGCCGATTTCAAGCCCTGGGCCGATTGGTATGTAGCACCTGAACCACAGGATTGAGGAAGGTGCTGTTGTCCATGTGCACGGACAAATCTGATGTTATTGAAATGGCTTATATTCCAAGTCAGCCCTGGAATATAGCGGCCCAAACACCCAATACGCGTGATGAGAATTGAAGACTTAAACCTTCATTCTCTTTCACCGCATTCTTTTCTTCCCCTCATCCACTTTCTTAACTCATCAGATTTAGTTCCAGTTTTCCTCGAAGAAAACAATCATTTCCTAAACGCCGTAATTTTTCTTGTCCTCCCACCCGCCCTTTCTACCAAAAAATTTAGCATAGCTAGTTTTGGGTTTCTTTGCTCCAAACCTATCTCCCTCTAAAATAGAACATAATTATACCCATAATTAGTTGAACTGTTCTGAAGAAATTAAAAGCAAACTAGGATCTTCCTTTGGTCTATAGATCCTTTTTTCCTTCTGATAATTTGTTTTTATCATAAAGAAACAATAAGAATTAAGATCTATTAACCACCCAAACTCGGATAGCTGGAGGCTTCAAATCCACAGCTGACCTAGGAGATACGCTGCGGCGTATCTCTGACAAGAGTACCTTAGGAATGATTGAAGTGCTAAATGGATAGCCTGTGCACCAGCCCGGCACTGGACCCCGACTCAGCAGATGGCCTTCTCGGGGGCCGGCATTTTGGCGGGCGTGGCACCCTCCCTTGATTTCGGCCAAGCGAGGCTTTGTCCCGACCCCCGCCAACTTTAGCATGTGCCAAGCGGGGGTTGGGATGGTGCCAAGCACGCTTTGGGATCGGCCAAGCGGGCTTTGGGATTGGCCCAGCGCGCTTGGCCTTTTCTTGACCAAACTTTGGTGTGTGCCCAGACGGGCTTGCAACACCATAATATATTACAACATGTTCTTTTAGCTTGTATTTCAGATGAAAATGGTGTAGTGCACCTAAAATTAAATGAAAAATCATCTTTATACACCTGGCATTCAACTTCTTAGTCACAAAAGCATTGTGGATGGGATTCAATAAGTCGTTGCCTCTGGAGCCATCTTGTAACAAATCCGTGTCAAAGAGGTTTGCTTGATGTCTCAATTGATAAAGGTTGACACTTTCTTCACTACAGATTTGAAATCATCATATAATAATGATGTTCCCAGCCATGAAAAAGGTTCATTTTTTTTTTCTTTTCTTTTCTTTTCAAAAAAAAAACCTCACATCTTTTTTGTTGCAAAAGACAACCTGAATCATGCAGGGCACATAAGATTTAAGACAGGTACCTAGAAGGAAACTTGACTTGGGCGTTTCAGTTAAGCAGAAGTTTTATTTATTTATACACATGTTCATGATGAGAAGTTGTTATGATGCAGAAGCAGGAAAAGGATTTATGCCATTTGGTAGGGTAAGAAAGGCAAGTGCGGCACATACCAACCCATTGATGATTCCGACAATGACACGTACAGATGTTTAACTCAAACAGGATATATTGAAACATAGTTATAAAGGTGTGAAAAGTATCACCAACCCGAGAGGTCGCCGAATCCTTTCCGACGCTTAGCGGCTTGTTTGACCCCGATTTCTTCACCCATAGCCACCAAGTCTCCCGGACGTTTCTGTGTTCCGGTAAGCTTGCCCGAGTTATTTTGGTTCAAGTATTTCCCAACGGTCGAGCCACCGGTCGAGCTTCCGACGACTGTTTGTTCCTTCTTAGCTGCATCGCTCAAGGTAGTTCCAAACCAAGTAATCCGATCCTTTTCTCTAATTTCCTTCCGTTTCAGCTTCTCCTCAACCGCCTCAACTTCGCTCTTTTCTTTCTGCAACCGTTTGCTCAATCGTTCCTTATATTTTTCAAACGGATCATCGAAGATTAAGATTGTGTTGATCTTCAGTAGTTTCAATGGTTTATCGGTCACTTGATCAATCGGAATCGATTCGAATTTCGATAGCACACTGTCCCCTCCGACCACCCGTCCGAAAACCGTGTGCTTGTTGTTCAGGTGAGGTGTTTCACGAAATGTGATGAAAAATTGAGACCTGCAGAAAGACAATCTTTAGTTGGCTGAACTTTCGAGGTAGAGTGCGAAAAATTCAACTTGCCCGTTCGTATCTTTTCCGTGATTTGCCATACTGAGCATACCTCGACTAGTGTGTTTGTAGGCATTTCGTAAATGAAATTCATCTGTAAAGGTGTAACATAATGTGAGCTCTCCAACTCAAAAGAGCCGATCGCTTCCGCCCTAAAACTCGCATCTCACCTCCGAAAGGCTTCCCCCAATAGCTCTCCCCGCCTTTTCCAGTCCCTGTGGGATCGCCTCCCTGATTGGAGCCACTCAAACACGAGATGAGATTAAGATTAACTTGCCTGCAGTTTTGAGATAAAAAGTAAAACAATGTTTTTAGAAAGAGCTGGAGCTGACCTGAATCATGAAACCCGGTATGAGCCGATGAAACTCCGTATTATCATAGTAACCTTTTCTAGCCAGCATGAAAAAATTGTAGCATGTACGAGGAGCCTAGAGTGTACAAATCAACAATCAATCCAGAATACACTTGAGCAAAAGGAGGTTCATGAGCAGTCAACTTACCCTGTCACAATATAACTCCACATTGAGGTCACCCAAGTTGGTAGAAATTTTCACATATCCTTTCTCTTTGATGTGCGAGAACATAAAGTCTTCCTGATTGCACAGAGGTGTCAATACCAATCAAACGACCTTGTGAGAGAGGAAAGAAGTTAGGAGCTACCTCATCAATAATTTCCACCTCAGTCTTGGTGGCTGGTGTGAGACTGGTACTAGTAAAACTGGCCGCAGCCTTGCCTGTTGAGAAGACACTGGCATTGTATGGAGTGAGTCCTTTGGATGGAGCTATTGATGATTCGGCAACTAAACCCTGTTGAGTCGGGGTGGCATTTGTTGATGCCGACTTCGAAGTTTCTTTATCTTTTGCGAGTTCTTTCAATACGGCTGAGACGGTGCTACCTGCAGCTGCTACATTTAATCCCCTCATCGGGTCTTTCCTCATAGCCTCAATTTCTGTTCAAGTTGTGGGACAATAGGCAGGATTAGGGGGGTTAGACTCGGCTGTGTTAGTTGTGAATAGGACGCATACCTTCATTTGGTACCTTGAGGTTCTTCTTCAAATGATCGAACCTGGAGAGATCCTTCTTCTCGATGTTATGGGGATCCTTAGAATGATTTGGAGTGTCAGATAGAAAGATTTTCATTGAACTCAAGAGGTGAGCTATACCTGAAGTGTGATGATATCAGCTCTGGAGAATTTTTCATCGGTCACTAAGTCGTGCCAATGACCGGGTTTGATGTTCAATCGATCGATACTCTCTCTTGAAAACACGTTGCCTGATGTCTTGATGGCTACGATATGTGTATGTTCATTAAAGACCTTATAAGTGACGGGATCGTAGTAATTATCTTCGGCGTTCTTAAAGAAATTCAACTTGATGAGATCCTTAGAAGCCAAGGGAGAACCGGTAACAGGATCGCGAGCGTACTTTCTGTTGAACAAACGTCAAAGCCATATTAGAGCGCACATAGAGTCGTGTTTTTTCGCGTCTGAGTTGTTTCTGATGGGCGTGCGTAACTTGATATATGGGATAATGTTGATCAGATCAACTGTAGAGCCATCGGGTGTACACATCGGCATCTCAAAGGGTTTCAGACTGATTGCACAACAGTCGAACGGTAACTGAGATCGACAGATCAGTTCGCGTATGCTCCCGTTGAAAACACACGGCTGATAATAAGTGACTCACCCGTTGGAAATTCGAGCCCGCTTTCTTCTTCGCGCCTGCACTGGAAGCATGATGGTCGCCAAACTCACCAGCATGTTCGCGATGAGTGATGTATAACTTGTCGGATCCCTAGCGAAGCCCAAAACACAGGTACGGTTAACATGGGCCCTGGTGCGGTTTAAAAGGATACTCCATCAAATGATATTCTGAAACTGGACTCACGTGTCCCATCCTAGGCTGAATATGTCTTCTTAATTATCGTGAGCTTCGAGGTTTCAACTGAGTTGTTTGCAAGCTGTTTGATTTGAGGAAATCGGTATGTTGTATCAGTCAGGACTTCAGGAGGATGTGGCGGCCGCAAATTGGCGCTTCTCATGTTGACTACCCGATCCCCCCCGGGGGAAGGAGCCTCCCCGACCAGACTGTTGAAAGCTCACCAAAGTTTCTGGCGGGTCTCCCCCCACCCAACACCAAGTTGTATTACCATCAAACTCACGAATATGAAAACAATCTCTTGTATAAGGACCACACTCTGGTATGTCGCCTCTTCATCACTCCTCGAGCGTGCGAGTAAACAGTTGATAATTCTGGCCTAACCTTTTCTTCGACAATCTGACAGGTTATCAGCGTTGACATTCCAATGTATGGTCGTTCTTGGGGTTGACGTCGTAGGTCGTGTGGCTTGGAATACCGCCTTACCAGGTTCGTGATGAAATTTGATTCCCAGCGCCGTCTTCAGAAGCCTGACTGGGCATCTTTCACTCGTTTGAATCTGAATTCTGGCTGTGATATGAATGTGAATTTGTTTCAAAATAGATATCAACCACCTACCAACCGATTCCAAAGTGGTACTACGCTCTGGCCGATCCGTAGAAGACTTCATCAGGCAAGACGGGACTTTTGTCTTGTAAATCCACTTCGATTATGTACTTGATCGGTCCTGATAACAGGAGGGGCTAACTGAAGAGCTGACGGTAGAGCAACTCAAACGGCCAAAGACAGGACGTTGAGCCGGGGAAGTACGTTCTGATTGTCCAGTGTCGGACTGTGGCCTTCCCCGCGCTTTCGATCGAAGTCCCCTCCTCGAAAGATGGCCCAAATACTGGGCCGCCGATTGTTAAACACCATGTTTTTGGCCAAGCTCCTCCGCCCCCGGTCGACCCAACCGGTCCACCAAGGCCAGAATTTCGTCTACAGTACCCTATTCAACTCGTACCCACCGCAAAAATTCAATACCAAGAAATCAAGGTTGGCTTCAACCCGATCGCTATGTTGTTGGGTAACCCGATGTACCTCTTGATGGGCGGTATGGCGGTGTTCATGATGATTATGCCCAAGGTAGATATCTCAGGTCTGCTCGGTTGAGGTAGCCACTAATTATTAACGAGCTTTGATTCATGTCTTCCAACAGCTCATCGGTCTCATGGACCCAGAAGCATTAGCTGAAGTGCAAGCGAGCCAAGCCGACTTGCACAAACAGATGGCCTCTATACAGGACATGGATCTGACGTCCGGTGAGTGGAGGTTTGGCTTGGATTCTGTGGAATCTATCAACTCATCTGGCCTGCCCGCTTTCTATAGGCATTGCAAAGATACTGTCCTCTTCGAGTGATAAAGCAGAACCACTATCAAGCTCCCATGCTTCCGCTAAAACCACTTCGCATGCGACTGAAAATCATGTCAAGCGAAGGAAGTAGTTTGTCTATCACACATCTGATATTACTTGGGCTTCTTGTTGGGGATAGTCAGTAATAAAAGTAGTCAGGAACGCTCTTATCAATCCTATCCAACTATGGTACCTTGGACAACTTGTACACTTAATGGCACATATCTTTCCTGCAACGCAAACAAAATCACCTATCATGTCGATGCTCCGGCCACATTGGAATCGTAAAATCAGCTCGATGTGATACATTCATTGGAATATCTCAAACATACCTCAGGGTTCAAGAAAACAGTCACCCACCTGAGTTTTAGCCTATTTCTTTACTGGTCGTTGTGATTAGTGTCGCCAATCGGAAAGAGAAAAAGCACCACAGCGGTACATTGAAAGGATTCTAAGCCGAAATACAAACAACTGAGTGACTTGTATCTAGTTCACTCTGATTGAACAGAAGATGAAGCAAACCAATATAAGCAAGTTTAGCGCCCACAAGAAATGATTAGACACCCAAAAGAAAGCAATGCTCGATCTCATTTCTCTCGATTACTGATGCCACAGTATTCTCCTGTTGATTTGAGAAGAAGTTAGCATAGCGCAGCCATCGACACCAAGTTTCTCATTCTGGAGAGTGGTGTGAGCTTGCAATTGTACATGAGAGCACTTTGACCAGTCAAGGTATAGTTATCCATCAGGGTGCTGACATCAGTCCTGAACACTATGGTAATAGGATATCAGAGTTATCTCTGGGTGAGGGAAAAACAGACTGTTGAGATGCACAAATCATGATAAGGCCTGGAAAAATGGTGTGGTTTCTGGAGAAATGGAATCAAGAAATTCTTGAGGGGAAAAAACCTGATAGCAAGACAAACAAAAGGAGGAAACCATATTTTTTTTCTACTTTTATTTTGATATCTTAGAACAGATGAACCATAACATTCTACCACATTCTAGCACACAAAATGAGACAAAGCACATACAGAATTCTGGAGCGGAAAACCTGAGACAAAATTTTTAGTTAATCCTGAGGGTACCACTGAATCTCAAAAACAAGATTCTCTTAGAAAAAAAAATATCTCCAGTCATCTAGAATGCTTGGGAATTTAGCTATGCATTTCTTCTTTTTGAGGAGGCTCCATAGTCTTCTTTAGTGTAGTTATATCTCCAGATTCGAGGCATTTGCTGGTGTATAACCTCTTGAAGTAATTCATGTTGCTCAGGAGTCAATTCTATCAACATAACTTGAGGAATGTACTTCAGGCTTTCAGTCTTCATAATAAGATCAACATATTGTATTAATTCTGACATATCCCTCTTGTATTTAGTCAGTGGTAGAACTTCCATTAACTCATGAGTTAAGCCTGAAATTGTTTTCTGATCAGTGGTACCTTTTCCAATCTTTAATAATGTGACAATTTTGTTAAATTCAGGAAATGCATATATCTGTAAGACATCCCATAATTCTTCAAAATTATCAGCATAATTCACTTCTGAATGGGCAGTCAAAGACCCCTTTTCTGATGGGGTATTGTTTCGAACAGAATGTACAAATTGCCATAACATTTCTTTTTGTAATTCAGTGAGAGAGGCATTGGCAGCATCATATTTTTCCTTCCTTTCATTCAAACTTTCAATCTTGTTGTGTGCTGCCTTCCTCTTGCTGTTTGTTCTTTCCCATGATTCTACCAGTTTCCTTCTATTTTCTTGTAAAGTTGCTAGTAAGACGTCTAGTTGCTCAGCATATGTATTTTCTTCAATATGTTCAAAGTTGGACCTCATCAACTCCAAAACCTTTCCCTGATCTTTTTCATTCAAATCCCCTATATACTTTAGGCTTCCTTTGAAAAAATTGTTTAATAAATTTGGATCTACATATTTAGATTCTGCCAAATGAACAGCATTGTCTTCTCCAAGGTTTTTTGAATCTACCACACAGTGAGAAATTTCAAAATTTAATCAATCATTGTGTAAAAAAACTCCTAGAAATTTGTCTGAAAGAAGCTACTCACAATTGCCTCCTGTGAGCCTGGGTCTCTATAGTGACAGCAGGACACAAGGAGTTGGGGGGCAATTTTATATGTATTTCTTAAGAAGACAGAAATACAATAAAATCAGGAGAGAGGAAAGGAAGAGAAATAAAAGAAATGAATAATCTTTTTGTAGTTTCTTTGTTTTGTGGAGATTATTTAGATTCAGACAGTCTTACTTCCTCAGAGGGTAGCTGTTATAAGCGGAGCTAACTCTACGCCTCCAAATCAAAGGAAACTGAAATGGGTACTTGACTCTGATAAATCAGGTCAACCACAATTTTTTAGATCAGGGATGATCAAGGTTCTTTAAAGGGAAACCTATGTAGTTTTCAGTTTTACTACCAAACAATAAGAGAAGAGAATCTTTGGAGCTTATGGAGCTTTGGTTGATCAGGGCTTTTGGTTTAGAGAAGTGAGAGAAAAAAGGTGAGAGTGACAGAGAAAGAAAACAAGCAGAAAGATGCTAGCTGTCAGCTTGCTACTATAGCAGAGACAACCTGTCATAGTACACAAACATAATATAAAATACAAAAAGACATTATTACTCACCAGAGATGTTTTCAGATGAGTAGTACTGAAAACAAAAGAGAAGATCAAAATAATAAGGGCAGTATTTCTCAATATTCTTAATCTATATGAAGAATAACCTAGGGTACCTCAGTCAGAGGTACCCTATATTTCAACTACTTCATGCGGCAAATCTACATTAAAGATATAGGGTATACCTCCAAGCAGGAAATGAAATATGCTTATATTTATAATTAAATATGCTAATAAAAAGGTCTAAGACTGAAACTGATTTGCTGTTTCAAACATACTTTTGTATATTGATAACACGTGTGTGGCACATTTCCAAGGAAATAGCCACATGTTTCAGCTTTCATCTTCCACAGAACACCTGTGGCACATCTCCAAGGATATGGTCACATGTTTCAGCCTCCATGCATGAAGCACCCACAAGTTGACCCTGATCTCCCAGATGCCTTCCCAGGTATATAAAGAGCCCTCTGTCCACCCAAAAACAGATTCCTCAGATTATTACAACCCACTTTAGATTACCCACCGTCCCAAATGCTTAACATTTGTATCTGTCTGGTAATGTATTGTCTCTTGCTTTAATTCTCTGTCTATCAGAACCTCAAGACTTAAGGGGCTTTATTAGTACATAGTGCCCCCTTCTTTCTTGAGATTCTTACTACTTTCTTCTGGGATTTAAACCACCCCTGTTAAACAGGCCCCAGTGTTATCAGGTACCTAAATCCTCTGCTTTTGCACGATACCTTTGAGGGATTAAACAACCCCTGATTTATCAGGCCCCTCTGTTTAAATTATATCAATATTTATTGATATAATTATTCATTTATACTATCTAATAACCTTGTAATTACCAATCATCATTGGAATTACCACCCAAACTCTGCAGTTCCAGAGCTCGAACTCTGTCATCTTAAGTTTTGCACCACGTGTAGCTAGAAGATTTACCATCTTGGCATCACGG